GGCCGCTCCTCTCGGGCATTCCCCCCTCGGGCATCCCAGGCTGCCGGCAGGGATGGAGCAGAGTAGCTTATTTTTTCTGAACTTTTTTTCCCTTTTTTTCTGTAGGAAATACGTACGACAGATCCATTATAGTTGACGGAGAAGAGGCATCTCTCGTGGTGTTTGATATATGGGAGCAGGTACTTAAAGATATAAGATATTTTCTCTTTATGGCTTTAAAAAAAAATAGACACCGAGCAACTATGTCTGCCTATTTCTTTGGTCAAATCAGCAACGTTTAAAAAGGAGAATTCATACTGCCTTTGTTCTCTCCTGCCATTAATTTCTTGCAGTTAGTCAGGCAATTGAAAAAAAAATGAATAGGGCTGGAGTGAGAATCCCTTAGTGCTTTGAATAAGCAGCAGCCCAGAGATTTACTGTAAATCTAGGGATCTGCAAACTGATAGGTGCAGACCTGATATTGTTTCTAGAATTAAGAGAATTTTGTTTTGTAATATATTTTAATTATCAAAATCTTTTTTAAAAATTGGGAGGTTGGCTTACTTTTGCTGAGTCTATAATAAAGCTAAGAAAAATGTCTTTAAGATGCTTAAAATCATTAAGTCATTAATCCTTGTTGAACAGATTTTTTCATTGCTCTAAATGTATTTCTTGCCTCCTGTTCTAGGATGACAGCCAATGGCTTCAGAACCACTGTATGAAAATGGGAGATGCCTATATTATTGTGTATTCAGTGACAGACAAAGTTAGTTTTGAAAAGGCTTCTGAGCTAAGAATCCAGCTAAGAAGAGCGAGGCAAACAGAAGACATTCCTATTATTCTTGTGGGCAATAAAAGCGACCTGGTCAGGTCCCGGGAAGTCTCTGTTGATGGTAAGAGACACTATTCATTTATGCACTGATGTCTAAATTAGTAGCAAAGGCTATGGAGGATCATAGCCAAAAGAAATGGTTTAGTTTTGATGTAGAAAATTGTATGGTTTGAGGCACACTGGAGAAATCAAGCCAGCTGGTTCGTGCTGAGGGACACGGTACCACTGAAAACGGTGGAGAAGGGTGTGTGTAAGATTTGTGACTGTCCAGAGCAGTGCCCTGAACTGCAGTACAAGAGAAAAAATGTGTCAGAGGCACAGCTGTAGCAGACTGTTCTGTGTAAGGTCAATTTTTGGTCATTAGTAAGTGAAAAGGTTTAATTGTATGTTATATGTGCAGCAGCACTTGCTGGTCTCCAGATGTGATAGCTTGAGCTGCACTTTTCAAGGGACAGGAGTGCTATGTCATAGAACCCACACAGCCTTTGGGAAGGGTGATCTCACACAGCCTGTATCATCCTCTTTCTTCTGGAAGTGATTCCATCACATTTGAGTTGAGCTGGTGGGACCAGACTCGCACAACTTGAAGTTTTGTTGTGTATGTTCTCCAGCTGTGATCAGTGAGAATTTCCTCAGCTAGTTCCAGCTAGCGTTTCAGTAACTAGAGCACAGCAACCACTGCCAACACCACAGTATTCATTTCACTTATTTAAACATTTGGTAGGTTTGTATTTTGGGTTTTTCTTTTTTAATTGGTAAGAATGCTCTGAAATATCAGTGCCCTGATGATGATAAGCCATTTCTCGCTGCAGTTTTCCCTTGTTCCCTGTGTTAAATACCTGCACAAGGAATTGACTGGATTTCATCATGAGATTGTCCCCTTTTCAGGCTGGGGCAGCACATGGTTGACCTGTCCTAGTAGTGACACCAGTACTTTGCTGCAGGGCAAATTCCCATGTTCAGCTTGAAGTAAATAGCGAGGTTGTAAACCTGAGCGATGTTCCAGCATTGTGTGCTTATGCTGGGAACATGGAGCATCCTGCATTTTGAATACAGTCCTAGTCAAATCCAATGGTGTACAACCTCACGACCTCTTCAATGACTTGACCTTGTGGACTGTACCATGTGGACTTCAGTTGTGGCTAGCATGGAAAACTTTCACTTGTTACAGCAAGGCTTAATTGCCCAGCAACCTCCAGAAGAAATAAACCCCATTTCTTTCTGTACCTCACACTGTTTTCTATCAGACAGCAAGCATGCATCTGGGTGCCTCTCCTGTATCAGCTTTCGCTCTTAAGCAATACTGAGATGGTCTGCTTAGAGGGCTGTTGTTGCCTTATATTCGATACCATTTGTCAGATGAGATTTCTGACCATACAACAAACCCAAGAAAAGCAAGGGGTCAAAACCATAAGTGCAAATTTGTACTTTTCTACCATGTAGTAAAGATCTTTTGTGGCATTGAAGGCCCTCTCCTTGCTTAAAGTCTTTTGGTTTGTTCTTTTTTCTGCCAGTATATATGAGGAGAAAATGTCTATCTCCACTCATCTTCCTTTTGCTCTTTCCATCCAGAGGGACGAGCCTGTGCCGTTGTGTTTGACTGCAAATTCATTGAGACCTCAGCTGCTCTTCATCATAATGTCAAGGACCTGTTTGAAGGTATTGTTCGGCAAATCAGACTTCGCAAAGACAGTAAAGAAGACAATGCTAGGAGAATGGCCAACACAAAAAGAAGAGAAAGCATAGGCAAAAAGGCAAAGCGATTCCTGGGGAGAATTGTGGCAAAGAACAATAAGAAGATGGCTTTCAAAGCAAAATCAAAGTCTTGCCATGACTTATCTGTGCTTTAGAAGCTTTCAGCAAGGCCCAGTGTTGCACATGGGTGATGAAATGCATTGAACTGTTATGAGAAGTGTGTAGATAATCCTCATGGTGATAACAAGAATGACTTGTCAATTTGGACTCTCGTTAATGCCTTAAGGTGTGCAAGCCAGTCTGGAAGCTGCACTGCAATGTCTGCTTCATTGATAAATGGGTTTGTTTCGATGTGTGCAAGCAAATGAACTAACTTTAAATAAGTGGCTTGACATGCCTACATTTTCACTGTGTACATATGTTATATATTCTCTTGTCCTGTGGATACCAGAGATGCAAAGATAAGAAAGGATAAGTATCACCATAGACTTATCTTGTTTGCAGAGCAAAACTTAAACTTGTACGCAGGCTCGTACACTCTTTTTAGTATAAAACAAGCAATGATAAATCTTTTTAAACTTAAACGTTGGTGGGGGGAGTAGAACCACATTAGAATGGGAGAAAACAAATTATATATATAGTTAAATACAGAACAGATATCATTTTATGAAGTTAATTTGCACTTCCATTGACAGTTATTCAATTAATTTGTTACTTGTTTACATGCAGATTTTATAATAAAGTATTATTTCCTGTTATAATAAATTGTGCTTTTCTTACGGTATGGATAAAGAATGAGAGAGTATTATTTTTATACTGACTTTTTTTACTGTACAAAACATACACAGACTAGGCAGAATTTCTGGAGCAAGATGAATCAGGAATATCCTGTGTCCTTTTCTTCAACAGTTTCTTTAAGAAGTAAGCTCTGCTTTTGTGAATACTACTTCAACAGCTCATATGGGGAAGGAGTGTCTTTACCCCTTAGCCTGATTCTCATCAGCTCTAGGAGGAACAGGCTTCTATATACTGTCTTTATTAGATGGATGTCTTGTGTCTATACAGATAAATGGAGGCCTGCAATGTTCTTCTTTTTAAGTCCTCTCCTGGCTTGAAGGTCTTTTGTTACAACCAGCAAGCAGATGTGGGTGTTTAGGGTTTATTTTGTATTTTGTTTTGGTGTTTTTTTTTCTTTTCTGGGAGCAGTATAATTTTCTCATCTCTCACAAGCCTATAGCTACTTCCCAGTGGCTTCACGAAGTTCAAAGCTGACTGGCCAAGCTATCTGAAAGAACTGTAGGCTTCAGCTGTGTGTATGGTGGCCTTCAGGACTGTTTTTACTGTCATGATTAATGTGTTTCTATTAGTTCTCCCTATTTCCTATTCAAGCTAAAAACCAGCCATAACACAGTGAAAAGCTTGAACTTATAAATTCCTCTTTGTAGGATACATTCTCTTTAAATTCATCCATAAACTCACTTTTCAAAAACACTGAAATGTACTCTACTGTCCCTGCCCACGTCCAGCTCTTTAGAGAGATGTTTGCAGCTCTCTGCCTGGCAGCTCTGTCCATCACGATTGCACAGGGGCTGACCTTTCCCATACAGCAGGCAAACTGCATTAGCTATTACACCTTGCACTGAGCTTCCTCGAGCTTAAACAACTCTCCATTGCGTTAGCCCATTGCTTGGTCACTCGTCAGCGGTCAGTTAGTACTGGGGGAAATCCCATCTGATTTGCAGAGGGAATGCTCCATAGAATTAGTGTCTCCTGATGTGCTGCTGGTGTGCAGCTACCCAGTTAGGTTCAATTTAGCACATGTTGCTGGTAACAGGTCACCTTTTTTACAAAGAGAGGTGTTTACTTTGTGTCCTGAAGTCTAAAGTGAACAATTATGTCCTGCTGACAAAACTCACATTTACCTGATGATACATTTTCATTGCATTTGGCTTTTTTTCACTAGCCTTGCTCCCTGCAAATGATTATCATTGAAATGTCTAACCACTGTCAGAAAATGGCATTTGGTTTCTATTTATATGAAAGCTTTTAACTGTCAACACCAAAGCAATTGCTCTAGTCCTGCAAACTCTACAGCAAGTGTCCAAACTCATATGCATAAATTGGTCACATACCTATTCATGCACATACTGAAGTTACTGGCAAAACTATGTGGTATTCCCTGTGCATTTGCAAAGCTGCTGTCTTTTGGTTGGCCTGTGCTTTCAGAATGACCAGGAGAGGACTAACATGTTTGATTAGCTGATGAGATTTAATTCTGTCCATAACAGCATTTTACCAAGTGCAAAATGTTACAAAGATGTGTCAGTCTTAATGCTGCAAGGTAACTGCAGGTGCAAAGCTTCTTCCAGGTCATGGTTAACAGTCCAGCTTTTTGCACACTCTTGACTTCCAAATCAGATGTTTTACTGTGTTCATGAGTTCCAAAGTTACACTGGACAATTCTTAAGCCTGAAATATTTCCCAGGTGTTTTAGGACATTGCTAGAGGTATATTTTAACTGTGGAAAATATTTTGTGTTTTCAGTGTGTCGAGTGTTCGTGCAGGACATTGTGAGACAACAAATTGTGAATCACTCTAAAGAAACTTGGGCTAGTTTATAATGTATTCTATCAGTTAATATTGTACAATAAAATACGTATCCAAATCCTCATTATACTCTTTTTTTTCATTAATTTGTTTGCACAGAGATTAGCATAACTCAGCCATGATTCATGAAAAGGGGGAAGTTTCGTTATTCCTGCAGGTCTGAAGATAATCTGGTCTAGACCAAGATCATATTGTATATTCCAGAAGTAATACTAATTTGCAAAGATTGTGTAGCTCCTGGAAGATTTTTTACCCAGAAAAATATTAATTTCTTGGATGTCCCTTAGTGGAATTTCCAAGCAGACTTGTTGGAAGTACATGTGCAACACACCATCTAGAAGTCAGTAACAGGCATCTAACTGACAAACACCTCTAAAAATCAACATTCTTCAGAAGGCTGTTTGTACCCTCAAGCATTCAAAAGTCATCTATAGGGTTTTGTAATATGAGATGCTTTATTGGTATAGATACTCAGATTCTTGTCATTAAGGGGGTGAATCTGTGACATGAAAAATAGTGAGTTCCAGAAAGCAGTGTTTCCTCTAATTATTGCCAGAGCAGAGCAGAGTGTAAGGGCTAACAGTGCTGTGAGTTTTCTTATGTTTTTGCCAATGTGCATCAGTTTTAATTTGGAGGGACAGTTCACACAGTCATTTAATCTTTACTGCCTTTGCTGCTGCCAGCTGAAATTCCTATTACTGCTAATTGTGGTGGTGGATTTTGTATTGGCACAAATCCATTTGGAACAGCTAGCTATTAACTACTACAGTGGAAGGACACTGCCTTTTGCCTTTTAGATGTGACACATATGCTAGGTAAACAAATCAAAGCCTACTCTGCTTGCTATTGCTAAACTAGCTCCTGTAAAATCTTCACCATACGAAAAATGTGCAGAAAATCATTCCTCCATCTGCCAAAACCACAAAGCGTAGTCATATCACATAAATATAGATGAAATGTTAACTGCTGGGAGAAGACTCAGTATCACCAAAAATGTAGTTTTACTCAAATGTATTTTCTCAAAATAGGACTAGAAAAAACAGACCATGATCTACCTAGTAACATTGCATGCCATCACTGCTCTGTACTGAAAAGCAAAGTGTAGTGAGTTGACAGTGATTAAGAATTCAGTGTATGATAAAAGATGTAGTCTTCTAGACATAGTCTAAAGAAGTCTAAAAAAAGTGGGGTAATATTTCCATTATGATCAGAGAAAATGTGCAGGTTTAATTGCATGTATATCACAGAGACCTGACTAAACCTGCAGTCGCAGCCAAAGGTGGTATTTGTGCATTCCAGGGTCACCAGTTAATTCATAATTTACCACATGATCTCTAGCATTATAATGGACAATTTGACTTCCTCTTAGCATAAAAGAACACCTGAACTCCAATACTATTGAAGTTATTAATTACTAAAAATTGAAATATTTCAGTAAATTATGTCAACTGCTCTTGTTGCTCTTGCTCCGTAACCCTTGTACTTTATGACACAAGTGTTGAACAGAGAAGTATAAGATAAAAACAAGACAAATGCCCATTGCTTATCTTGCAAATAAGTTTCTCCAACACACTGTTCAATCCAAGGAGGAACAACATTGTTTAACTTTAAAATGTACTAAGGTTTCTAGAACTAGATGATAGGAAGCAGGCTAAGAAATTTACTTCAGCACCAAGTTCGTCACCAACAAAATAGTAATATGCAGTACAAAAATGTTCTGGCCACTGAGTAAAATGGGTATTGTATGTTCTAAAGACTCTATTCTCTATTATTCTCTTTTCTCCCTGTTTTTTTTTTTCATATTTATAAATACACTGAATAAATCATTGTAAACCAGTTAGGAGCCTACAGTTGTTTTTTTTTTTCCTACTACTTCCCATACTGCTGACAGGAGCTGAAGAAAATATTAATCTGGACTTAAATTTAGCAGATTCAAAGACTGAGATGAATACATTTGGAAATATTAATTTCCTCACCCTGCTAAAAAAACTTCTCTAAGGTCTGAAACAGGGCCTGTAGAAAGGACAATATTTGGAGAGCAAGTGCTGCTGCTCAGAATAGTCCAATTAGACCCATAAGAATCTCCTTAGCTTGTTTCTGGCAGTAAGTCCCATCTTCATCAGCCTCATTATACTGGCATAAATAATTACACTACTGTTAGACTTGCAGTCCCACTGAAGGTTGTGACCCTTGCTTTGGGAATGACGGCTTTCAATTCAATAGATGCTGTGACAGAGCAACAGTAATTTTTGTCATGTCTAAATTGGCTTATTGTAATGCATTAGGCTTAACAAAAGGCTGCCAGGAGCTCCAGGTAGTAGGAAATATAACCACATTAATTAAGCTGGCTAGGTCAAAATGGGCACACAACTTCTGTGCTCAGGCTCAGGTTCCCATATGATTTTTGGTGAAGTGATGATGTAGAAAAGCTGTAAATAACATTGGATATGACTAATGTTGAAAATGCTTCACTTAGCTGCATGTTTTCTGGCTGGCTGCAAAGCTTGTTGAAGTCACTATAAAGTCAGCAGTATTGCCTGATTTTGGATTGCTCAACAAGAGCAATCTTTGCATTTCTAATTGCAGGTAGTCAGGTATATTACTACACATATTCAGGCCACAACAGTTTAGTGCCTTTGATCCTGCAATGGTGACTGCAAGAGATCACACCCTGTTTATTACTCTTGCAAATCCAGAATGCAAAAAGCATAAAGCAACAGAAATACATCTCAACTGAACCTGAACAGAGGGTGAATTTTAAAACTGTGCCAACTCGCATCAGCTCCGCTTCATTACAGGCCTGCCAATGGAATTTATTGAGGAGTGTTCACCAGCCTTCCTCTTCAACAAAAAGAGTTATGTACGTAACTCTCTTTGGGTACCAGCCAGGTGCTGAACAACTTTCTCACAGAGTTTTCAGCCATGAGTATCTCAGTTGTAGGGCTTCTTGTCACACACTTTTCATGTCAACTTCAATTTTATCTTTCCAACCTCCATTGTTACACATTGTCACCCTTGCAGCAGTTGCTCAGGAGTACAGTGGGAACTCCTCTGCTGCTGCATGACTTACTGAAAAACATTAGCTGTCAACACTTGTAACATGAACCTGGTCCCCCAGCTCATTGCTTTACATAATATAGTCTAGATAAAAATGTCAG